TGGGAAATTGTTTTTCTCATTCTCCTGGCACAAGAATGGCCACTGATGGCACTGTCAAGTGTTGGACAAGATGCTCAGGGACAGGGTGGGATTGTTGGGGTGTCTGTGCTCCACCTTCATCCTTCCCTCCCGCCGGGGATTTATCCACAGGGATAAGACCCTGGGTCTCCTCCAGGCTCAGAAGGATGCTCCAGCCCCTTTATAGCACTTCCCATGGAATCACAGAATGACAGGATGGTTTGGGTTGGGAGGGACCTTCTAAAGGTCAGCTGGTCCAACCCCCTGCCGTGGGCAGGAGAAAACTATCCAAAATAGGGTCTTTAAGGGCAAAGCAGGGCAGGAATTTCATTGAAATGATACATTTACCTGGATTCTGTTAAACTCCAAGAGCCAGGAGTCACCCCAGCAGAGAGATGAACACCAACACAAGCCCTGGCTGGCTGTGCCCTCTTCCACCCCACACCGAAGGGAAATTTCCTCTGGCTGTGTCATCTGCCCTGGAACAGGAATTGTTCTCCAAAGGGCACTTTGGAAAACAGACCCAGCCTCATTTAGGGACCTCAATTCTCTTTGTGCTCCTCTAAGTTGAATGAAATGAGGTTTCAGGGTCCTCAAACAATACAATTAATGCCATTACAACAGAGTGCTTTGCAGTAACGACCTGGCACTGGAATGGAATTGCTTTTCTGGCACTAATGGGAATTCTTGCATTTCTAATGGGGCACATTTAGTGCAGACATATGTTTTAGAGGCTCTCTCCCATTTGTAAATATTGCAAGGTGTTTATTCCAGGGGTGGGATGCAGCTTTCCCCACAGCCCAGCTGGTTTTCCTGGTGCTTGTCCAGCAGCGCTTCTCCGGGATCCATTTGTGACTTTTCCAAGCTTTCCCCCCTCCTGCTGCCCAGAAGCTGGAGGAGGTTTAATAATAGATAATAACTCATGTAGCATTACCATGATTAAGTGCTCCAGCAAAAGCTCTGCCGAGTTCAAATGACCAGAGATGTAAATCCAGAAGGGACAGCTCCACTTTTTCCAGCTCATCGCACTGACTTCTCCAAGCATCCACTTTGTCTCCCTTGTACCCTGGGGGTTGTCTCAGAAGCTCTTCTGTTTCTCCTCTAATTGCCCTTCCCTAAAACACACCACGCTCCTCAGTTCCATCTCCTGATCCCTCCCCTGAAATAACAGCTCAGGAGGAGCTATTTTGCAGTCTCAGGTGACACCGAAGTCCCTGGTCCTGGGGACATCTCCCCTGTCCCTGTGCTGCCCCAGGGCTGCTCTCCTGTGCCACGTTCTCACCCAAAACAGAGGCTGTGTCCCCATGGGATGGTGCAGCAGGTCCAGGAATAGCCATCAGAACTTGTGTCCCTCCTGCTGGAATTCACAGGAACAAAAGCACAGGGACACGGAGTCCTCAGCCAGGTCGCTGCTGCTCCTGCTGGTGCTGCTGGATCAGGGGACCACGGAATGGTTTCGGTGGGAAGGGACCTTAAAACCCATCCAGTGCCACCCCCTGCCATGGGCAGGGACACCTTCCACCAGCCCAGGTTGCTCCAAGCCCTGTCCAACCTGAGCTTAGACACTTCGGGATCCAGGGGCAGCCACAGCTTCTCTGGGCAACCTGGGCCAGGGCCTCCCCACCCTCCCAGCCAGGAATTCCTTCCCAATATCCCACCTAAATCTCCCTTTTTCCAGCTTAAAGCCATTCCCTGTGTCCTGTCCCTCCATCCCTTGTCCCCAGTCCCCCTCCAGCTCTCCTGGAGCCCCTTTAGGCCCTGCAAGGGGCTCTCAGCTCTCCCTGGATCCTTCTCCTCTCCAGGTGAACCCCCCCAGCTCTCCCAGCCTGGCTCCAGAGCAGAGGGGCTCCAGCCCTTGGAGCAGCTCCATGGCCTCCTCTGGGCTCACTCCAGCAGCTCCACATGGTTATGTCAGCACGTTCCCAAGACCTGCTGTATCCATCCATCCATCCATCCATTGATCCCATTGCATGGATAACAGTGGGATCCCCCACACTGGTGTAACCGGTGCATCCACAGCCACAGCATTCAGGGGACCCAAATAAGACTTTTCCTACAGGAACAGCCCGGCCTCCCTAAAATCCCCCTTCCTCTCTGGTGATGAGGGAGGACCCTGGGCTCAGTAACCCCTGGTGACTTCACTAAACAAAGGCAGAGCCTCTCTGCAGTGCCCTTCTCCACGGAGAGTGCCCAGCTGGGCACCTTGGCTGGATCCCAGCAAAAAGAATTCTCTCCTAAAGGGAAAAGGATTCCCAGGCAAACAGGAGCAAGGGCAGTCTCAGCTAATGGGGGTGAGGCCTTGCAAGTCCCCGAGTCTCAGTGTCATTAGTGAACATGTTGTAGCAAAGATGAGGAGAAGGGATGGACAGGCAGGGAGTGACCTCCTGGTGGAGGCTCAGGATCAGGATAATTAGTGGACTCATTACCCCCTTCCCCAGCACAGACCTGTCTCCTTTTCATCCTGTGCCTTGGTACCAAACCAGGCACCTTCTGGTAAAACAAAATGTCAGCAAATGAAGGTCACGAAGCAGGAAAAGCTGCTTCACACACTCTGTGAAATCGCTGCCACCCCAGGTCACCTCAGCACAGCTGCTCCTTTGAGTTGGTTGTTTTATGGGATGTGTGATCTCCAGCCCTCTCATCCATCATTTCCAGCTCTCCCACCATCCAGCACCAGCCACATTTGAGCCAACACTGATCACCAGAGGCACAAAGAGACCCTGCCCCTGTAACAGGGAATTCGGGTCCTGCTCACACAGGGGGGTCTCTGGCACAACCCACGGGTTCCTGGGGAAGGGGGTGTCCAGCAAAACTGTGGGAAGCCAAAATCAAGATGTCAAATCACTGGAAATTATCCTGGTTGCAAAGTAAAGGTCAGACTGTGCTTGCTGGGAGCGTTGTTAATGTAAATCAAGCTCTCAGGGCACCATGGGCTCATCAGCTCCTGCTCCTGCAGGGAGAGTGGCTGGAACAGGCGGGATCTGGAGTTTTCCACGGGAGACACAAGGAAGACCTGCTGGGTTCCACTGTGTCAGAATGCACAAAGGGAATGCTTGGAACACAAAGGGAATGCTTGGAACACAAAGGGGGGGTTTGCTTTGCATTTTTTTTGATTCATTCAAAGAACCAGCTGCAAATCTTTGCCAGAGGGAACCAGAGCCGGGGCCAAAGTAATCCTGGAATGGTTTGGGTTGGAAGGGACATTAAAGCCCATCCCATCCCACCCCCTGCCATGGGCAGGGACACCTTCCACTAGCCCAGGGTGCTCCAACCTGGCCTTGGACACTTCCAGGGATCCAGGGGCAGCCACAGCTTCTCTGGGATATCCATTCCAGTCCCTCCCCACCCTCCCAGCCAGGAATTCCTTCCCATCTCCCGTGCCCAGCCAGGCTGTGATTAGTGCCCCAATATCCCTCTCCCCTTCCCAGGCCCACAGGGACACACCCTGGGCCAACAGTCATCTGAAGACCAAACTGAAATGTCCTGTTGGCACTGGGATCCACCCCACAGGCAGGAATTCTGCAACACTTGATTGTGCTGCACGGAATATTAGACATTTATTAAACACCTGGGGTTGCTGCCCAGCTTTGGGATGACTTTTTTGAGTCTGTATGTTGGTGAGAGAGGTTTTTTCACACTGAGCAGCACTGGGCTGGGAGAGCTGCTGCTTTCCCCTAAATACTGGAAACCAAAGCCAAAAACCCTGAGCAGGTCGAGGTCCCCAAAGCCTTTTTGTGGCTTCACCCACAGCTGAGCTGCTTGGTTTTATTTCCAGCCCATACAGAAGGATTAGACTTAGAAATGGGGAGGGATGTGTATTTTGGAGCCTCTGAATCATTATCTGTATCTCTCCAGTGAGAGATTTTGTATCTTTTTGCCACCTTTCCTCTAAAGGAAGGACAATCAGCAAACCCTTTATATCCATTTCAATAAACTCACCAGCTGGAGACACTGGCGAGGCCATTCCTGAGTTTCTGCTGGAACACCAGGGCCTGTGTGAAGCTGTTGGTCCCAATATCTCAAATATTCACAGTTAAATATGAACCCAGAGGGTAAATGCTCATCCTGTGAACCTAATGATGCTCCTGGAGAGGGGAGGGCTTCCTTCCAGAGCTCCTCCATGGAGCTGTTGGAGCAGGATAATGGCACCTCAAAGGCTACAGTGAGGGAGGGATGTGGAAAAAGGTGTCAAGGAAAGCAATGAACAGGGCAATTTATTTCTCCTTTTTTCTCTCCACGTCTCCCGTGCTCCCTTTAGGCTCAGGTTTCTTCACAAGCGATTCATTCTTGTGACTTGTCATTTTAACAACTGCTCACACTTTCAGAGGACATTTCCAGGGGAAAGAAACCCACAGAAAAAAATGCTGCGAAGCTGCAGCGGAAAACGGGAAATATTTTCCTTTTCTCTGCCTTTATCAGTGGCAGAACCATCTCCTGCCAACCAGATGATCTCTCTGTTATTAAATAACTCATTAAGGGCTCAGACAATCCATGGCCTGCAGGGCTGCTTTGTAGGAGCTGAATTCCATCCCCGTCCATTCCTGTCTCTGGGATGGAGAATTTGACAGGAGTAATTTGAGGGTGAAGGAGGAGAATTCTGTTGTGTGTCATAAACTGTGATTAAAGGTGTACCAACTACCACTGGATCCTCATATTTTTGGGAGAAACACGTCCATATATATTTTAACCACCACAAGGGCTCTGGTCCTGTGGCACAGGGTGGGAGATGAGCTTTGCTGACCACTTTTGGTGCCCTGACAAATTAAATGTCCTTAAAGCCTCCTCCCATTGAGCACAAAGGCCACAAAGCTTTTATTATCCTCTTAAAAATGAAAGACAAACACTGTGATGCCTTGTTTTTTCATATTCTGTACATCACCTAGGATTGAAAATTGACTTATGGATCCCAGTTATTCCAAGTAAACCCCTTTCAGGCTGTTTTCTGAGGAAGTTTCTCATACATGAGCTTTTCCTACCTCTTGCAGGTCAAGTGGAGCTTTTCCTCCTCTCACACAGCATCATCTCCCATTTGTCTGTCAGTCAAAAACTTCAGGTCTTTTTCCAAGTCTTCAGGGGCCCAAGGCTGTGGAATTCAATGCAAATAGAAAAGCTTAATTCCCTGGAAAAAATCATGGACCTCATGGAGCCCCAGCCCCACATCCCTCCTGCCCCCACAGATAAACACCCAATGGTTTGGGTTGGAAGGGACCTTAAAGCCCATCCCACTCCACTCCCTGCCATGGGCAGGGACATTCCCACCATCCCAGGTTGCTCCAAGCCCCATCCAGCCTGGCCTGGAAATCCTTTAGACCCAAGGGCTGGAGGTTCATGAACAACCAGGAGCCTAAAAGAGAGTTTTGAGGGAAATGTGTGTGTGCAAGGGAAGGAATAAAGAATGGGGATAGAGGCCACCAGGAAAGTGCATGGAAGTACCAGATAAATGTAATTAAGGAGACCAGGGAATTCCAAAAAAAGGAGAAATTGAAGAATGATCCCACAAAATGCATCAGAGATGGGAAGAAGAAACTGGGTAAGTCCAGGAGTCAGGGAGAAAGGAAGGTTTGGGAAGGTTTGGGAAGGTTTGGGAAGGTTTCGGAAGGTTTCGGAAGGGAAGGGAAGGTTTGGGAAGGGAAGGTTTGGGAAGGTTTGGGAAGGGAAGGTTTGGGAAGGGAAGGTTTGGGAAGGTTTGGGAAGGTTTGGGAAGGTTTGGGAAGGTTTGGGAAGGGAAGGGAAGGGAAGGGAAGGGAAGGGAAGGGAAGGGAAGGGAAGGGAAGGGAAGGGAAGGGGCTCTCTGAGGGGGCACTGTGGTGTCCTGAGGGAGCTCAGCTGGGCTGTGAGAACACAAATGTCTCAGTTTTGTCCTTACCTTGGAGATCTCTCAGACTCTCAGGGCTTCTGTAGTTGCATCCCAAATAACTCAGAGTGGTTTGGGAGTCTGGGAAGTGGTGGCAGCTGATAATGAATCATTCTGAGAAGGAAAGACATGGAAACCAACTAAGTAAAAGCAGCCAGTGCCCATGTACACGATCCAAACAGCTGGATCATGGCATTATCCCATTACAGCCCCTCCAAACCATATTCCTGACCAGGAGGGACCACAGGACACCCAGGAGATTTCCTGCTGGGAGCCCTTGAGTGTCACCACTGTCTCCATATCATGGTCTGGACATAATTCTTCAAGCACAGGCCAAAGCCAATAATTAGCTCAGTGTGTAATTATCTCTTTCAGCACCTCTGCAGTTCAGACTCTGTGAGGAATTTATTTCCTGAAGGGCTTCGGAGGGTTTTGCAAGTACAGAATGAAATTTGTTAACTGTTAATAACTCCCAAATTAGCTCATTTATTAAGGGTTGGAAATAACTCAGCCCTGTCAGCCGGAATCAACAAGTTATCTGGGAACGTAAAGAGGCAAAGAAACAAAAGAATATTTAACCCTCTCCAGTCCAAGGCAGGGGGAGGACCAGAGATATCAAAGGATGTCTCAGTTCATGGCTGGGAGGGTGGGGAGGCCCTGGAATAGAATTCCCAGAGAAGCTGTGGCTGCCCCTGGATCCCTGGAAGTGTCCAAGGCCAGGTTGGAGCAACCTGGGCTGGTGGAAGGTGTCCCTGCCCATGGCAGGGGTGGCACTGGATGGGCTTTGAGGTCCCTTCCCACCCAAGGTGTTCTGGGATTCCATGACTCTGCTGGACCCTCTGAGCTTGTTCACCACTTTATTTTATTTTGGGCTTTTCCCCTTTTGAGCACTGCTTGAGGAATTGTTTCAGAGTTCAGCTCCTCTCCCAGCACAACCCCCCAGGTCTGACTGACACAAACTCCCTGGTGAGAGATGCCCTGGGATGGCACCAGGAGCTGAGCAGGAACAGACACACAACTACTGTGGAAAATATTCCCATTTGGGAGCTGTGGGATGGCAGCAGGAGCTGAGCAGGAACAAACACACAACTACTGTGCAAAATATTCCCGTTTGGGAGCCCTTGGAACAGACCTGCAGGTCTCGTGGATCCAGGAGGAAAGTCCTGGCTGTGCCCTGGATCTCTGCCCCCTGCAAGGGTCACTCCTTTGTCCTGCTCTCCCATGGCCACTGGAGATAAATATTGTATCTTGGAAGCCCTTCTCTAGTCCTTGTGTTACATGTGAACCCCAGGCAGGCCGAGGGAAGCAATTTAACAGGGGGAAGCATCTCTCAGTGGATTTGACAGGAATATCACAGTCACTGGGTGAAATAAGGGCAGCAAATTGACTGCAGGGCTCTGGGGAAACCTCTGAGTGCTGGGAGTCTAATGGGTTATTCCCAGATAGAACCAGAGCAGCTTCAAGGGGCTGCAGCAGCAGTGACTGAGCCAGAGTGTCCCTAATGAGCAGCACAGTCCCCGTGTGACTCACTGAGCAGGACCCTCTGACCCCGCTGGGAGAGCAGTTCTGAGAGCTCCAACTCCCACAAAACTCGAGCTGGGAAGGGGCTGGAGCAGCAGGAGGGGCTGAGGGAGCTGGGGGGGCTCAGCCTGGAGAAAAGGAGGCTCAGGGGGGACCTTCTGGCTCTGCAACCCCCTGACAGGAGGGGGGAGCCGGGGGGGGTCGGGCTCTGCTGCCAGGGAACAAGGGACAGGAGGAGAGGGAACGGCCTCAGGCTGTGCCAGGGGAGGCTCAGGTGGGACATGAGGAGGAATTTGTCCCTGGAAAGGGTGGTGAGGCCTTGTCAGGGGCTGCCCAGGGAGGTTTGGAGTGCCCAGCCCTGGAGGTGTCCCAGGAAGGCCTGGCCGTGGCACTCAGTGCTCTGGGCTGGGGGACAAGGGGGGCATCGGGCACAGGGAGGATCCATGGGCTGGGAGGGCTTTTCCAGCCTCAGGGGTTCCATTCTATGATTCCATGATGAGCAAACACCCTTGCAGGAGCCCTTGGTTCAGAAATAGCTCTGAGTTCTGCTCTGGGTTTTCTCCTGACCTTGCCTCCTGTATTCTCACCATGGATAGGGTCTCCTGGGAAAAAGAACAAGCTCTTCCATGGATTCAGTTACACATTTCAAGTGAGGGTTTGGGGAAAACTAGAGAAACATAGAAATGGGTTTGGTTTCTACCTGACAGGAGGGAGGAGCCGGGGGGGTGTCGGGCTCTGCTCCCAGGGAACAAGGGACAGGAGGAGAGGAAACGGCTCCAGCTGTGCCAGGGGAGGCTCAGGTTGGATATTAGGAAAAAAATAATCATGGAGAAGGTTGCAAAGCAACCTGGTGAGCACAGTGCTGGAGTCCCCATCCCGGGAAGTGCCCAAAAACCGTGGGGATGTGGCACTGGGGGATGTGGTTTCGTGGTGAACGTGGTGGTGCTGGTGGAGAGTTGGACTTAAAGGTCTTTTCCAACCTTAACAATTCCATGAGTCCGTTTTACAAACACGTGAAGGAAAAGTCTAAAAGCAACCTTGATCCCCAACCCCTCAGGCCAGAGGTGTTCCTGGTGAATTCCCAGCCCTGGGGGCACTGGAGGCAGCACCATCTCCCCGTGACAAATGGGGCAGCTTTATCTCCAAACACAGACAACACAAAGCACCCTGATAAGGGCAAGGAATTTGTTTGCTTCTAATGGATTTCTGCCACTGGGAACAGAAATAAATGTCCTGTCAATTTGTAATAAATATATACACCTGCCTTATCTCTGGTGTTAATCTGAGGAAGCAAAAGCTGTCTAATAAGAAGTGATAATATTTATTTTAACCTCTCCAAATCCTCAATGACACAGAGGAACGTGCGTATTTCCAACTCCACGGGGTTTGTAATCCATTCCAGTATTTGGAAATATTATTTGAGGCCATTTTTTATCCCTTTGGATCAAAACAGAAATAGACTGTAAATACAGGTTTTTTGTGGTCAAACCCAAGAGGTTACTGACTTTCTGAAGCTTTGACCGTGGTAAAGGAGATGCTGGGACTCCTCTCCAAGCTGTATCCAGTGGGATGATCACTTCTTATCTGAGAACTCAATTTAAAACCATCCAAATCAGTAAGAAAACACCTTTAAAAGCCAATTTTTGCCAGTGATTTGAAATGAGTTACCTGCAGAGAGACTCAACAGATCTTAATCTGCTATGTGGGACCTGTGAGAACATTTAACATGAAAATCCATCAGCTCCCAGATCACTTTGCTGAACTCGGGGAAGAAATTGCTGTGTTGGGAGAGAGGAGGAATTGTAACTAAAAGAGAGGGAAGAGGGGCAGGAAAATGTTTCTATAAAAATAGTGTGGGCACAGGCCCAGGGCAGGGACTGTCCCTGTGCTGGCACTGCTGGGGCACCTCCAGTGCTGGGGCACTTCTGGGATCTCAGACAAGGGAGACACGGAGGGGCTGGAGCGTGTGCAGGGAAGGGAAGGGAGCTGGGAAGGGGCTGGAGCAGCAGGAGCAGCTGAGGGAGCTGGGGGGGCTCAGCCTGGAGAAAAGGAGGCTCAGGGGGGACCTTCTGGATCCCTAAAATTCCCTGGAAGGAGGTTGGAGCCAGGGGGGGTCGGGCTCTGCTCCCAGGGAACAAGGGACAGGAGGAGAGGGAACGGCTCCAGCTGTGCCAGGGGAGGCTCAGGTGGGACATGAGGAGGAATTTGTCCCTGGAAAGGGTGGTGAGGCCTTGGCAGGGGCTGCCCAGGGAGGTTTGGAGTGCCCAGCCCTGGAGGTGTCCCAGGAAGGCCTGGCCGTGGCACTCAGTGCTCTGGGCTGGGGGACAAGGGGGGCATCGGGCACAGGGGGGATCCATGGGCTGGGAGGGCTTTTCCAGCCTTAGTGACTCTGGGATTCTACGTTTGGAATTGGCTGCTGATGGTGGGAAGTGCACAGAGGGCAGTGAAATCAGTGCCACGGAAGGAACGGGACTCAGACCCACCAGGACAAAACTCTGCAGAACTCTGCTGGGTTTAATCAGCCAAAATTTCCAACCTAAATTAAGTTTCCAGCTCCCACTGCAGCAACCCCCCCTGATCACACACACACTGCACACGGGGCTGTGGTGGCTCCTGAGCACTCCAACCCATTCCATGGGAGTCCAGAAAATAAACCAGCACTTGGCAGGAGAGAGCAGGAACCTCCAACAGGGAGGAAAACCTTGGAAAGCACATCTTACAGGCCAAAAGGCTCCCTAAGGAAATCAGGGGAAGCAGGGACTGTGCTGAGCCAAAAGGCCTGATTTAGGTGAAACCCATCTGGATGAAAATGTCAGACAAGGGGGTGCTAAAAGAAAGGAAAATATAAAGATTGCTGATGAGGGATGTCAGAACCAGGAGCTGATCCCATCTTATGGCTTCTCATTTTTCAGTAGACGTTGTTCATATCAAAAAATGAGATTTTGGGATCCAAAATTATCAGCATTTGGTTCTGTATAAAGTGGCAAAGTTTGGGTAAGGCTGTTATCCCATCCTTTCCTGTTGTGCCTTACTCCCTTGGCTCAGGTTAGTCAGACTTTGCCAAAAGAGTAATTTCTGTGCATTTTAAGCATTTTCTAAAACACAAGATCTGGGCAGGAGGAAGAGACAAGGCACCAGAGTGGACAGGGCCTGGGTGGGCAGCTCCTGGCTGTGGCTGCTCTCCCACCACAGCTGAGTCAGGAACCATCTGTGGTCCCACATTCCATGTCTTTCAAGCCTTTCCAAGGGACAAGTTGACATTTCAGAGCTTCCCCCCCTGCCCATGACAGCAGCCAGTGGTAACTGTCCCATAAATGGATGCTGGTTGCAATTCCAGCTCAGTCCTTGAGCCCTGGGGAGGGAACCTGGGGTGGCTGTGAGATTCAAACCCAGGGAACCATCACAAACTGCTCACAGCAAAACCTCCAGAGCAAAGGAAGGGTTTTGCCTCCTTCCCAGGGTTTGCTGCCCGTCCTTTAGTGACAGAGCACAGAGGACTGGGGTGATACAAGCAGATGGAGCACTTCTCATTTCTGTGTCCCTCCTGCTCCCTGACTGGCACCAGGCCATCAGTCAGTGGCACTGAGTCCCTG